CTCCTGGCTGGTCACACACACACACACACACACACACACACACACGATATCATGGATTCACTCCTGGCGGGTCACACACACACACACACACACACACGATATCATGGATTCACTCCTGGCTGGTCACACACACACACACACACACACGATATCATGGATTCACTCCTGGCTGGTCAGGTGTAGATTAATATTAAGTGTTTGAAATCATATATTTATTTTTGTAGATAAGGACATACTGTTTGGACATTAGACGTTTTTAAATACGACTCGGGTCTGAGAGGGGCCCGCGCTCAGCAGACCGTGTACAGTAAGTTCTGCACTGGGAATAAGATCAATCACATTTAATGGGATAAAACAGGTGGTGTGCTGTCCTGCCCCTCAGCTGGGTGTCCGGTCGGGAGACATTTACTCTTAATTCATTTTGAGGATATTTGGGTGATTTAGTCAATATTTTTAATTATATCTACTCTGTTTTAACTTGTTTTGCCTACTGTGGGTTGTGACGAGTACAATACACGTTTGTCAGTCTTAACCAGTTGTCGACTCTTTATGATAGGCCTAATGCCAATTAATTATATGACTCATTGTCAGAGACCTGTACTGTACTGTACCAATACGCCTGTAACAACTTTTTGCTCGAAGAGTGAGCCACAGGACAGATGTTAAGTGTAAAATTCCTTCATGGCGTCAACTTTCAGTTACTCTCATAATTACCATGATTAATAGGTTTAAAATATCCTCCTCCAGCCCGTCACCAGATTTACACGGCCGTCTACATCACACAGGTGTGGATGTAACTAATCACAGGTGGTCTTGGATTGACGCACCTGTGCACCTTATTACAGGGTACAGCTACAGAATTAGCGACATACAAAATACTGCATACCATACTCCGAACTCTTGTTGTTTAGTTAATATGAAATAGAAGTGAACGTGTGTTTTGTTGGCCACGTCTCATGAGAGGCCAGGGGGGAGAGGGATACTGTTATGTTTCCTGTGTGCGGCAGTCGTGATGAGGTGGCCTGGGCAGGTGAAGCAGTACACGTGGCGACCTGGCTGGCTGGGCGAGCGTGTTCCCAGTGAGCTGGTTGATTGTTGTGTCGTGTTGGTGATGTTACAGGGAGAAACAAGTGGTGGCTGTTTGTGTGGGTTGGTGGTGGTAGTTAGCTACGCTGGGGAAATGTTTGTAGGTTCTGATAGTAAGGATGAGACTATTTGTTGGACTGAGTAATAATAATAATAATGACGGTTTATTTAAAGAACAAGGCGGCCAACGGGATGGAAATACAGTCACCAGAGATGAAGATACATAATAGGGGAATGAGTCACTTGATTTATAAATAATAAGTGGTGCAAATATAATATTTAATAACAAGGGGGGAAGAGGGTTATTTAACTGGGAATTTCAACATAGTAACAATACAACAGCAAGATTGGCAGGGAGTGAACACACAGGTTAACTTCGAGTTGTTGATATTTTTTTTACAGTGGTTTTGGATTGGGCTGTTATAGGGATCCGTAGTGATGATGCCTTGGTTGGTTTGGTGGTGGTGATATTTGAATTTTCACCACATCTTACCAAACAAGACATCAATGATTACTTTAAATTTTGCTCATCCATAAAAGAGAGACAGTTATGTGCGCTTGATGTATTACTAAAACAAAAAAACAAACTAAAAACCAACCAACCAACCAACAAACCAACCAACCAACCAACAAACCAACAAACCAACCAACCAACCAACCCACCCACCCACCCACCCACCCACCTCACCCACACTTGTCCTTGACTCCTCACGTCACAGAATAACTCCCATGACACGAACTTGCATTTTTAACAACATTTATTCACTAGTCAGCAGAGTCAGTGTGCAGAAATCGTTTTTACAAAGATGAAAGTTGAGGGCAGATGAACCAGTTCCTCTCGTCTGTCAATGTTCTCTCACCTGATCACACGTAGTCTTAAACATTCATGCACTTATATAGTAGTGTTGCTCATTATCTCCTTAATTTAGGCATACCTCTCATGTGCTCATTAAAACTAGTCAGTTCATTGCCAGGTCATCATGTCTCTTAGGATGAAACGCTGGAGTCGAGTTGCTGAGTTGGGTGTTGTGTACATCGCTTAGGGAAGTGCTGATACTGGATTTACAACACACACACACACACACACACACACACATACACACATACATACACACACACACACATACATACACACATACACACGCGCGCGCGCGTCTGTCATTAATTTACCTTGCGGAATAGTAATAAATGATAGCTGTAAATAAATCATTAAGATGCTTAAATTAGTGATACAGGCGGGATTCCTTGACAGGTATGTAGTCACCCAAAAAAGTCCTGTCGCGAAACATGAACCCCGAGATTCAGACTCTTGAATCCGAAGCATTTATGGACAGAATAATGTATCAGTGTTTACTGCTTCGGGTTCACGAGTCTGAATCGTGGTTCGCGACAGGACTTTTTTGGGTGACTGTACTACAATATTCTATCTTTTCTTAGGGCTGTTGTCAGATTAGCTCACCCACGTGTTCTCCAGGAGTACTGTACTGATATCAAGGTGGACTCTTGTTTGCATAGACTGTTAGGAGCGACACACCTGAACACTGATGAATCATACGCCTGTCTTGTTTATTTTCTGATCTTATTTCGCGTTATCACATCTCTCTCTGTCTCTTCTGGTAACACTGTACTGTATGATGAAGAATTAACAGATTTACTTTAATTAACCCGTTATTTAAGATGTATTATTACAGATTGCCGCCGAGTCATTTGTTTAATACAGGTGATTGGTGTCATGTGTATAAACCACGACACGAGAATGTTATTGAGGAAATCATGAGATTGGTGATTGGTGACATTGGATTATCAACAACTGTCTTAAAGCTGTTGACAATGAGTTCTGTTTTGATGCTGAGTGGCCACTTTACTGCTGTTCTTTTATGCTGAGTGGCCACATTACTGCTGTCCTTTTATGCTGAGTGGCCACATTACTGCTGTTCTTTTATCCTGAGTGCCCACATTACTGCTGTCCTTTTATGCTTGGTGGCCACATTACTGCTGTCCTTTTATGTTGAGTGGCCACATTACTGCTGTCCTTTTTATGCTGAGTGGCCACTGACACTGATAATCCTTTTATGTTAGTGGCCACATTACTGCTGTCCTTTTATGCTTGGTGGCCCACATTACTGCTGTCCTTTTATGTTGGTGGCCCACATTACTGCTGCTGTCCTTTTTTATGCTGGTGGCCACATTACTGCTGTCCTTTTATGTTGAGTGGCCACATTACTGCTGTCCTTTTATGCTGAGTGGCCACATTATAGCTGTCCTTTTATGCTGATTGGCCTCATTACTGCTGTCCTTTTATGCTGAGTGGCCACATTACTGCTGTTCTTTTATGCTGAGTGGCCACATTACTGCTGTCCTTTTATGCTGAGTGGCCACATTACTGCTGTTCTTTTATCCTGAGTGGCCACATTACTGCTGTCCTTTTATGCTGAGTGGCCACATTACTGCTGTCCTTTTATGCTGAGTGGCCACATTACTGCTGTTCTTTTATCCTGAGTGGCCACATTACTGCTGTCCTTTTATGCTGAGTGG